TAAATTTATAACTTTGGGATTAAGTCAATAGTCTTATATAGTTAATGATCCCCTTAAACAAATCATTATTTCCTATTTTTAGAAAGGAATAAATAGACTCAACCCTACTCTTAAACCCTTACCCAGTTGTCAGATCTCAAGTTGTTCCTGATCCTTCAATCTGTAATTTTTACTCAGAATTCTGAGATAAATTTAGAAATATGTGAGACTGTGGGAGGGACTAATGATGTACTTGGCATTTAATCTGTAGTAGAAGAACATTTAAAACAGAATTTATCTTCAGGATGAGTTACAATGTCTCCCAAGCTAAATAAAATAGTATTAGTGAGAGCCTGCCATAGAGTTTCTGTTCAAAATTGAGAGAGAGAGAGAGAGAGAACAAAAATGAGAAACTTACTCATAAGTGTGCTGAAAATAAGAGGAAAGAGTGATGACAGTGTACCAAAGGTTTTGATACATTTTTGGAAGACAGAATTGTAGAACCACATCTAGAATCCCAGAGGAAAGAGCCACCACTTGGTGAATACACATGAGAAAATTCAGTTGACAGAGAAGCTGTTCTTCATATAGAGGCCTCTGTACTTAGCTTGTGGAGAGAGCTGATATGAAAAAAGGAAGATAAGTTGAGGGCCATTGATTAAATAATTGTTAATAGAATAATTGTGCCTGGAAACTTCATCTTCTCCTTTATTCTGAAACAGTCCTGACACAGGGCTGCTTGTGTTGTCAGGGTTTGCAATTGGCCAAGGACTAGAGACATGCTTTATACAGGGAAATCAGCCTTTTCTCTGTCAGGAACTGCAGTTCATTGTTTTAATGAAACCCCAGAATTTAGTTGGGAATATGAACTCAAGATATAATTGGGGGGCCTCCCCGGTGGCGCAGCGGTTGAGCACTGGGTTGCGAAGCTGCCCGCGGCCTCTGCGACGCAGGTTCGATCCCCGGCTGCTCCCCGGCCACCAGAGGAGGGTCCCACATGGCGCGCAGACCTCTCCTGCCGCCCGCTGCTCCCCTCAGCAGTGTACTTCGGTCCTTCTGCCTGCTCTGCTCCCCGCTCTGCCTCTGGTGAATTCTCTCACCCTCCCGCGCTTCTGATTGTACCCAGTGCATGTATAAACAAACAAATAAATAAATAAATAAATAAAACATGCCTCTTTAAAAAAAAAAAAAAAAAGATATAATTGGTTTCTGCTTCTTAATAGTAAAACAGGTATGATTAAAGTTAACACCATCATCACCACCAGCGCTACCACCACCACCAATACTTTGCATTTGTCATTTATTCAGTCCTTAAAGAGTCATGAAAAACAAAAATGATATATATGGTTCTCACAGCAGGAAATATTAAACCCAGCTTCTCTCATTTTATGCCAACCTCTAAGAATCGGGAAAGACCTGGCAGCCATTAGAGACACAAAATTTGTGAAGATTCAACAGAGAAATGTACAAAATTGTGGTCAGTGGAAAATTATCATAAGACAGAAAATGTCCTTTCCTGGGGAAAAAAAAGTGAGATCCCCTTTCTCTTTCTATGGTTGGAGAATAGCGTTCATTTGAATCTCGAGGACCCAGAATCTTGTGTCTAGACAGGCACTGCAGAATCCAGGAAACATTGTCCCTTACTTTTTGACCAATGTATGTATGAGTAGACTTTAAGCTAACCAGCCCAGTTCACTACCAAGTCTTGAACTTACTTGCTTTGACTTGGGAACATGGTTTGTAGATGATAACCCTCTCTTCTTAGGGTTTGATTCTGGATCTGTTATATGATCCCTGTGAACAATAACATGGCCAACCCATCAGTTTGCCTTCTTCAGCACTCACTTTTGTTATATCAGTGTTAACTAGGATTTATCATCACATCACAAGAATTTTGCTGGTTAATCTGCCCTCCCTAACACACACCTTGTTAGTTAACCAACTTAGTTTTAGATTAGCTCCCCATCGTCAATCCTTCCAGTTGTCTTCCTTTTTTCTTGCTTGCTGAGTTTTGTTATGGACTTCAGATTTATCAGTTTATCAAAAGGGGAATGGAGACTATAGCAGTGCTTGTCAGATATAGAGATTTGGTAGTTGACTAGAATTTACTGGGTCAGTAAATTTCGTGAGGGGTCAAAAATATATAAATTGATTCTATTTCTGGTCCAGAAATTTTTTCATCCTTCTTAATTCATTATGTTCCAGGAATTATAAAAGTATCTTAGATTTCCCTTAAGAATACTAGAAATAATTTACAATAACAAAATGTGCGTATTAATGAATTTTATCGAATTCTAGAAGAATCAGGGGTTACTTTTTCTCCATAAATGGAGAATGTACAAGGATTCTTCTGGATAGAGTGATTGTAGAGACTCAAGGTGGTTTCATTATCTTTTGTATTACTTGTGCTCACAATTTTTGTCAGGGCTAGAGTTCTCAACTATTTAAGTTGAAAGATCTTAACTCCTGAAAGGAGTTACCTTCTAAAGTTTTTGTAGTTTTATTTGAAAGATTATGAATTTTCATATTACTAAAAAAACAATTAAGTGTGATAGACACTTTTTGAATAACTGCAGTACGGTTTTGGAGCTGAAAACATAGCTCCCAGGTTCTTGTGTCTGTGAAAATTGGATTATGCATAAAGTTTTAGGAAAATTATTCCACTGTGCTATGCAGAAAGGAAAAAAAGAGCCCAGAAACTAAAGTTCAGAATACATACTGCAGTTGCTAATTAAGGGCCGAGGAGGTGAAACTCAGATCTAAAGGGAGTGGTAGTAGGCAAAGGAAAGAAAAAGAATGGTCAGAAGAACATTTGGAAGGTAAACAATACAAACTATGACCTAGGTACTAGGGGGATAGGATCAGAATAAATCTTAGAGTCCTTACCCCATCCTCCTTACTCCCTCAATTTTTAGGTCCATGGAGAGTAAGTGATTTGCTTAAGGTCATAACAGTCATATAGGAGCAGACTTTGAAATAGAAACCAAGCCTTTTGGCACCAAGGCCAATTATCTTGTCACTGAATTATAAGTCACATAGGTTCTGAGAACTTAAACTATGGTCTTAAACTATGTAAGTGATAAAGTTGGCCTGCCCTTCAATATTTTATTGAAGATCACGTATGTATTAAGAAATCATCACTGTGCTAAGTGCTGAGATTAGAGTGGTGAATACAATAAATATACTGCCTGCTTCCTGTGGACCTCACCTCTGGTTGATATAACAGTAGCACTATTGCCAGAGAAAGGTTCTTCAAAATAAAAGATTAGTGTAGAGATGTGGATATGATGAGTTATTATTTTAATGTGTGTTAATTTCAGACATGCTGGAGTTAGTGTTTATGTTTCATGTTCTTACCAATTGCCTAATTCTCCCTGTAAACTATATATAGGTGTTCATTTATGTATATGTATAGGTAAAGAAAACCTTCTATAGGTGTCTTTTCAGATAAGGGAAAGAGATCAGAAGAGTAAATAGTGAGAAGATAAATCACATCAGCTAAAAATAAACTTCCTAAGTGTAGCAAAGTGACCTCCGTGGAAAGTAGAGGAAGGAATATAAGGTTGTTTTACTATTTGGAACAAAGATACAGGTTTCACGATTTCTGTCATTCTTCAGGCCTGTCTTTCTCTGGTAAAATGTGTCTTATCTTCAGAACGGGTTATGTTTTAGTTTGTTCCATGCTTTAAAAATGTTAACTTGGACATGCTTTAAATGACTTTTAGTTTGAAAATTGACATCAATAGGTTTGAAATTAGTTTACTCTCTAAATATTTGCACTTTAAAAAGTTTGGAATATGGGCCTCCCCTGGTGGCGCAGCAGTTGAGCGCTGGGCTGCGAAGCTGCCCCAGCCTCTGCAGCACTGGTTCGATTCCCGGCCGCAGCGAGGGTCCCATATGGCATGCAGGCCTCTCCTGCCACGCCTGCTGCTCCCCTCAGCAGTGTATTTCATCAGTCTGCCTGTTCTGTTCCCTGCTCTGGCTCTGGTGAATCCTTTCACCCTCCCGCACTTCTGACTGTACCCAGTGCTTGTATAAATAAATAAATAAATCTTTAAAAAAAAGGTTTGGAATAAAAAACTCTGTGATCATTCAAAGAGAGAACATTGAAAAATAATAAAATTAAAATAATTTCAGAGAATTTAAAAAGACACACTGAACAAAGTACCTATGGATGGAAGTGAACACAAGTCTGAAGTGACTGCTTGAATATATTTCTGAGAGATTTTTCTGGCTTTCAAAGAAAATTTTCATATTGGGGGAATAGTTTTTTTTTTTAATTGTTCACATGCTATAATCTACTGTATTTGTTCTTCCTTCAAATAAAGACGAATAAACATCAAGGGAAAACTTTAAATGTATACTTCCTAGTTTGTTAGCAGCAAAAAAAGTTTTAACACATTGCATTACTCTCAGTGTTGAATAAAAAATATAATAAAACTGTAAAACCAAGTTCTATATGACTGTAGAGAAATAAAAACACCTTTATTTCTTCTTTGTAACTTGAATTTAAAGTGAAAAAAAAGGCAAAGGAAAAGAAAAGAATGATGAGGGGGAACAGAAACATTTTTATAGATTTGTCTCATTTCTTTGAAGATTTTCTCTTTGTTATTTTAAAGAACACAGGAGGCACAATTTATATAGTGTTGTTCTCCTGTGACTCTGATTTTGCCTATAGAGCATATCAGAACAGAGATAGGCCATATCGATTATTATTAATTTGTTCTATAGGGCTTTTCTATATTTGGGCATTTTGTTGCTATTGTTAATAATCCCAGAAGGAGCATTTCAATGTGCTTGCATTAAATGAAATTGAAGTAATTAACAAAAGCTTATGTAGTTACAAGTGGAACATTTTGAAAAATGTTTCTTATATTTCTTAATTGTTGGTATTTCTTTAGGAGAATAATTTTTGTTTGCCAATTGTCATTAATCCTGACAACTGTATGATTTATAAACTCCCTTAAGCATGAGATACCGATTTTATTTAACAAATTATGGTATTCCTACCTTTTTTGCAGATTTGTCACAGAAACTTGACATTCTACAAATTCTTGAACTAGAAAAAAGGATTTTCCTAGAAAAGAACTTTCAAGAGCTTAAGGGAATATGACCAAATTGTGCCTGCTCATAATCCCTTGGAGAGTTGTCATCGATAACTAGATAAATGGGAGCCTCAATGGCCAACTTAAAGGTAAGGAGTTCTGAGCAGGATGTTTGTGAAGACTTTATTATGTAGGCATTTGCAGTTCTAAGGCAAAATTAATGTTTCTGTTCATTTCACTCTACACCCTAAAACTCTACTCAATAGTGAAAATTATACTCCATGGATTTACAAATACTTACTAATATTTCTCAGAATACATTTGCATATTTAGGAAGTAATGCCATGAGTGTTCCTTAAACATTCTTACAGTTCTCTTACAAAGTCACTCACAAAGACTTGTTATGCTCTAATTAGCTTATTAGTTCATTTCGAATCTGATAGAGAGTTTTGGGGCATTGTCTGTCAACTTGCTTGGAATTAGGACAGCAAATGCCTTTGCATTGTCTTTGTTCATTTAACCATGTCTTTGCAGATGTTCAGTATTTTAATATGTCTTTTATTTGTGTAATCAGATACACAATTTTGAATAAAGAAGTTTGTAAATAGATCAAAATGTTAGAGATATACTTTCCTCTCAAATGAATGTTAACCTGAATATCAAAATATGATTAATTCTGAGTGTCAGGGAATTGATTCAGACTGCTTATTTTATTCAGTGATAGCAAAAAATTGCACAGTATATAGTTTATGAAGGCAACTTATAATGATAGTTTAGCTTGTTCTTAGGTTATTTACAAATGATCATAAATTACTTTTTCTGTTAGAAGGAAAATATGAGAGAGCTGTTGGTTTAAGGATTAAGTTATTTAAAACTATTATGGAGAAACATTAGTCTTGTTTTCAGTAAGTACCATGCAAAACTCAACTTATTATTTTTTCCAAATCCTGTCTACTCTTGCTACTTTAATGTGAGTGCCTTAGTAATATGTGCAATATGAAGCAGTAAAAAGAGATTAGACTTTTGAGATAGATATAGCGCTGTTACATTGGATAGTTCTAAGGTTGCCATACATGTTATAGACTGAGTGGTATCTTCGAAGTGTGCAATGTACAGCATGTGTGACCATATCCAGTGTCTCTAAAATACTTACATTGGAAGTCTGATTAATAGCATTGGACAGTTACTGGCTCTCTTTAAACTTACAGTAATTTACCTATGAAATGGAGATTATATTACTTGCCAGATCTGTTTCTTTCATCAGTTACAAAAGAATTTATTTGATATGGTTCTTTTATAAAGATGGGGTTTGGGCCTCCCCTGGTGGCGCAGAGGTTGAGAGCTGGGCTGCGAAGCCGCCCGCAGCCTCTGGAGGCCCGTTCCATTCCCGGCCGCCGGGGAGGGTCCCACATGGCGCGACAACCCCTCCTGCCGCGTCTGCTGCTCCCCTCAGCAGTGTATTTCCTCAAGTCTACCTGTTCTGTTCCCGGCTCTGGCTCTGGTGAATCCTCTCACCCTCCCGCACTTCTGACTGTACCCAGTGCATAAATAAATAAATAAATCTTAAAAAAAAAAAGATGGGGTTTTACAAGGGTTTAGGTCTATAATAGCACTTAGTAAAGAACCAAGTGCATAGTAGGTACTTAAATGTTAGCGTTGAAAGTAGATATATGAGATGAAATCCAGCAAAATTAATAGAAGAGAAAAGAAGATGTTCACATAGGATCTAAAACATAAAGGAAAAATTAAATCAATCTGGAGAGGTGGCATACACATTTGTGTGGCTCCTGAGGTTTATTCCATGGACTGAATATGCAGTTCTTAATAGGGTGAATGACAAAGAATAGGTTTGTGCATTTTCTTAGAAGTTTAAAACCTTCAAATATTTAAAATCTGTACTGTTTCTGTCTTATGACAAACAGCAAAACTAAATCAGAGTTGGTGGTATCTTTCAAGTCAGTTTTAAAATTCTTTCAAACTAATACTTTTTAATATTTCTGCTCCAAGCCATTTTTTTCTAAATACTCTAGAAAAGGCTGCTTAATAAATTAACAATGCTATACACATATGTACACACATGCACGTATACAAATAAAAAATATAGATATTTAATTAAAAATGTTAAATTTCATTATATATATTTTGGACTTTTACAAGAAAATATAAAGCTGACATTGGAAATTGTTATTTAAAAAGATACATTAGAAAAGAAAAGAGATAGAAGAAAAATTTTATAAATCAATATGATAAAAATGAAAGTATAATGAGAATTATAGCAGCTATCAATCTTCAATAATTGTGAAGAATCCAACCTCAAATGCAATGAAGCTTTATTAGATTTGTGATTACAGAGTGTAAAATATAACAGATGCTACAATATTTAGATGCCTGCTGGCATTTACCTGTTTTCTCTGCACAGTTCATTTCAACTATATGAAAATTTTATGTGCTATATGAAAGTAGAGAAAAAGAAATTTATTTGTGAAATAACCACAAGAGAATTGATACTGTTTCAGCAATGTGTATTTGATTCTCTTTGACCAGATGAACTATGTGAGAAATTGGAGAATTTGATAATACAGTATTATTTTCAGTTTTCATATGGTAGAAGATGCACAGGTCAAGAAATAATTCTGATGTTGGATTCAATTACTTTCTCGGCAGTGTTCAGAGCTGTTTTGCTTTTTTTAATTTTTTTTTATTTTTTTTTTAGCTTGGGTGTCGTACTGTTCAGTGGAGAAATGGTTTTGTTTTGAGGATTGCTTTGGAAGAGTAGTGGCATTGGTGGCCAGAGAAATGGCTGATGTTATATTCCAAAGGCAAGATACTGGAATGTAATGTCTTGCTTTTAAAAAATAGGTTTCTTATTTTATAAAGTATTAGTCTTATTTAAAAAATTATCTTAGTATCATATCTGAAAAAACATATTTTTTCCTTTTGAAGATTTGTGCTACCTCTTTTAAAAAGGTTTATTTTTTATTTCCCATTAAAATAAACATGCATTATTCAGGGAAAAAATTGAGAAAATAGTGAAAAGTTTTATGTATCTGCAAATTAGAGACCTTGAAGTCATTCTTGGACAGATTCATCTCCACATTCCCATATCCAATAAATCATAAAGTTCTAGTGATTTTTGTCTTCTAAATATGTATGTTTATTTCTACCACCACTCTATCATTCTTCCCTGGCTCTCCTGGAATAGTGGAAATGTCTCTTTATTATTATCAATGCATTTACACTTCCCAACCAAATACATTTTTCATAATTTTTCAAAATTCTAAGTCTGACATTGTTTCAGTTTTATTTATTTGGAGGAATTTCCATAGATCTTAGAATGAAGGCCAACATTCTTAGAAGGGCCTATGAACAATGAGTTGGTTTTGAACTGCCTATCCTTAGCTACATCTCCTACTTTGTTCTGATTCTCTATAGCCTACTGTTCAGTAAAGGTCCTGCACTCTTTTTAAATTAAGAGTTTTCAATAGCACAGCCCAATCTAGAACTATGTCTGGGGGAGTAACCAGAGGTCTTGCCTCCAACCAGGCCTACCCAACAGGACCACCACCATACCATGTGTCAGAATATGCTCCAGAGTAGGCCATATCTACTGTTCCCACCACCTGATAAACACCCAGAATAGTGGGAGAGGAAGAGCCACACTCATCTGAAGCCCCATCCACAGCACAAAAAAAGCCAAAGCAAATGATGGAGACAAAGTAAAATAAAAATAGTCAAGTAAGTCCTAAGGGAAACAATACACCATAGAAAGAAAACCAGTCTCCAGAACCCAACAACACAGATATTGAAGAGATTTTCTTGCTATCAGAGAATGAATTCAAAGTTGCAATAATGAAGAAAAGCAAAGGATTAGAACAATACAAAGAAAGGTCAGCAAAACACATCAGTGATATACAATAAAACTTGGAAAAGGAAAAGGCAGCTGTGAAAAACACAACCCATGAACAGAAGATCAAGATTGAAACTTTAAATGAGAAAATAATGAAATTGCAGGATGTAAAGAGATCAATGGAGGAGGTAAAAACTTCTGGCACAAGCCATGGAAATAAAATAGATGAAATGGAAAGGCAAATCCATAATCTCAAAGATGCTGATATGAAGTAAACCAAGAAATAAATGAAAGATATATACAGAAAAATAGAATAAAGAAACACTTTGAGAATTACATGACACCATAAAAGGAAATATAAAAGTAATAAGAATCCCAGAGGAGAGAGAAACAAAGGAGCTGAAAAACTATTTAAGGTAATAATTGCAGAAAACTTCCCATGCTTGAAGAAGGAAATGAACATAGAAATACAGCAAGCTAAAAGAACTGCAAACTACTTAAACAAAAAATACATATATACAGCAAGATACATAATAGTAAAGCTTCTAATTATCCATGACAAAGGAAAAATAATGAAGCTGATGAGGGTGAAGAAACAAATAACTTTAAAGGAACACTGATTAGACTAACATTGGACTTCTCTGAAGAAACATTATGGGCAAGAAAAGAATGGAATCAGATGGGTTATAGAGCAACATGGCGGCGAGGAGACGCTGCGAGTAAGATCTCCCATTAAAAAAAGTTAATAGGGAGGAAAAGCGGCAGGTCCCAGTGAGAACTGGGACACGGAAGATAAACGGGTGACTCCAGCAAACTACCCGAAGAAGAAAGTGGCCATAAAAGAGGACTAGAAGGGAGGGAAGCGCAGAACCCTGCTCCCCTCCCCCGCCCCCAGAGGCGGCACTCTCCGACCGGCAGAGAGGAGGAAAACAACAAACTAAAACGACCCACAAGAACAAACGACGCAGCAAGCGGGACTGTGAGTGGAAAGGAACTATTGCAGCCACCACACCCCGTGAACTGGAGCTGAGGCGAACCCTGCAGGATTTGCCGCGGCGGTGAGCGAACGGCTCCGGGCGCCATTAGAGAAGAACAAAGACCCCGGGAGACGCGCACACAGCCCGGGCTGCCGGTAAGCCTGCGCCGAAACGCGGCACGCTCGGGGAGCTTGAAAAGCAAGTGCAGACCGGAATCGCGGCTGCCCAGGTACCTGCGCCTGCGACCTAGGCTTGCGGGGAGACGCGCGGAGGTCCTCACTGAGGTGAAGGTCTCTCCCTGAGTGAGCAGGAACCAGGCACCCGG